ACACTTTAACCTTTCATTTAGTTTTTCCGAAATCCCCGCGCTCATTCGTTTTCGGCAACCGGCCAAACCGCAGTCTCCGGTAACATATGCAAACAGCTCGTCAAGCACACGTCGTACGGACGCTTAACGAGGATGGAGAGTAAAACCCGAAAAAAAAAATAAAAAGATAAAAATAAAAATAACGAAAAATAAGAATCCAAGTAAAAGCGAATCTTTTTTGATTACGTGTTTTTGTGGGGTGGTTTTTTTTTTTTTTTTTGAATTTCCCGCTCCCGATATCTCAGTGGATTCCCACTGACTCTTCCGTATCGGTAACGAAGAAACGGTACGACAGACTTCTGACTGGCTCAAAGGCCAGGGGCAATTCTGACGACGCCCAGAGTTACAGAAGTAGAGTTACAGCGCGAGTTAAAGAAGCTCAATTTTGATGAACTTTACTAACGCATGAAACGGGCCCGGAGGTTAGCGGAAATTGTAATCACGAGTCCTCGACGGCGCGTGAGGGGTAACCGTGGGGGCTGGAGAAGGGGAAGACTCGACTTTGAAAGCTTCCGCGTAATCAACGCACGGATGAGGGGCGAAACAGAAAGAGGTGTCGGACGGACGATGATTTAACAAGGGTAAGTCGCGATAGGGTAAGACGGTATAGAGGATGCCCGTGATAATGAGATACGCGATGAGATAGTAACAGAGGCGGGGAGACGCGGTGCGAGGAATTTCAGTAGGGATAGAGACGGGCTAAGAGAGATTGGAGATTAAATAAAGAAAAAGTTTGGCGAAGGGGTTAAAATTGAAAAAACAAAAAATTCCCAGGCCTACCCTCATTCACTTTACGAGGGTCTGTGTCGGGTTAATTAATTACGTATTAAAAAATTCGTTCGAAAAATTAATTTTACCTCCCTAAACGCCGTTCCTCCCTATTGTCTTACGCGGTTCTTACGGTATAACGTACGCGCATGCGCAACGTCTCCTGCCAATTGTCACGCAACGCGCGTTTCCGCAATTCCAATTTCAATTTCGAGTCTCAAATTCTTCAGTCGAACGGTCATTACACGCAGTCGTGAATTCCCGGCATGCCCCGCGCAACACGTACAGATATATATATATATATACCATATACAGTATCTGCCAGGTATAATGGGAAATTGAATGACAGGTTACGAATGAAATTTTGGTAGATCCAAAATACATTAACCTCTTACACGTCTTCGCGATAGCTATGTATGTGAAAAATTATATGATTTTCTTTTGTCTTTTTCCATTTTCATCATTTTCATTCCACCCTGAAACACTGAATCGATTTCGCGTTAAATCTGTATGCATATATGCAGGTATGGAAACACGTCGATTCGTGCAGCGTTTCGTGTCGACCTGATTAACTTTACGTTTAGCTTTGTTTAACGTGGACTGAACTCGGCCCGAGGATACCGCGAGATTTTGTACGCGGGATTATGAGGGTTACGAAAAGAGCGGGAATTTCGAAATGATGAGAAATTCAGTGTAAATAAACAAACGCGTGTACAGGACTGTTTAGGAATTTGCGGAAACAGCAATGTGTACAAATTCAATTGGGAATGTAGTAAGAGATTCGGACACGTGTATATATGTATACAGCGTACGTAAAGCATGAACGAACGAAAGAGGGTGGGGATCGGGCTGAACGAAAGGCGATTTAAAAGTATAATAAAAGAAGGGCGGGAGCGAATGCGCGGTAAATTCAATTGTCGTATAACACGAGATCTACGGTCGGTCGTCATTCATGCCTTTATAATACATAATGCGTATACATTTTGTGTATCCTATATAGGTATAGCGGTACAGCGAGGTCATATTGGATTTCGTATAGTAACGACGTTGGGGTCTGTTCACACCGATTCTGAAAGGCAGAAGTGCATGCATATGCACAGTCACGAGTCGAGCTCAGTAATAATGCGTCTGGTATAGCTGAGAAATCGATGTCACGTGCTCAAGTGCTAAATTACGTCTACGTATATATATATATATGTATATACATCGGGTGTATATTAATGACGTATGAAAATTTCCAAAAAAAAAAAATTTTTTTTCAAAAAATTTTTTTCATATCAAATTCTATATAAGGCAATTTACGAATTTATTCAATTGACTCGCAATCAGTCCGAAGGAAATTATATTGAATTGAATTTTCATTGGGTGGACGTTGTATAAATTGACATCTTTGGTACTGAGAAATTTGGTGGGTCGATCGCCGAAGCTACGGTAGCTTTGACACACGTTCCTACGACGTGGGGAGCTAACACGTACAATTTTGAGAGGACGTAAGAGAAGTCTCTTGAGAATTCGTAATTTTTTTTTTTCTTGTTCAATTGCAAACTCTGACACGTTCATTAGAATTTTTAATATAAATTTTAATGTTAATTTAAATTTACGATATCTTCGTTTGCGGATTTTTTATTTTTTATTTTTTTTCCGTTTGCAGTAAACATATTTTGTATGGAAACGTGATAGTAAGTAAATTAAGAACTGCGAGGTTAGATTTATGGATTATGCAAGTTGCTGCGAGTGCGAGAGAGAGAGAGAGAGAGAGAGAGAGAGAGAGAGAGAGAGAGAGAATCTTACGTATACAATAAAAGAACATGCATCTTTATATCGTGCTAATGACTAATTTTCGAAGTTGCTTTTCTACAGCTGCCACTTTTCATAGCCATAAATATTCATTCGTTAGAATTTTGTTATTCAAATTTTGTTTTTCTAAGGAACACTACACTTTATTATACCATTTGGACGTAAACTTTTTTTCAAATATATATACATATATATATGTATATAATATTTTACGATATTTCAAGAAACACAAAATATACGAGAGATATATAATAGATATACCAATTTCTCCTCCACTGATACGTTTCCGGTACGAGCTTCCGGTTCAGAAGGCACTTTTAATTGAACCGACAAATCAATTATATTAACTGCGACATACTACCGTCGCGACGTCGACGGCTTCAAAGGTCAATAAAAAAAAACACTGTAGAACATAACCACATAAAATAGAACGTCAGAAATGAAATCGTCGATGAGGTAATGAATTTTTCCAAAATTCAAAATGGCCACCGCCAATCAAAAAATTAGAAAAAAGAAAATTAATCCTCATAATCAAAACCGTGAATTTTTCCATAACCTCCACGCAAAAGAAATCCCGACAGTACCCACAGCCAGTAGCTAGAAGGTACACAGAGCAAAGATAATTTTCCAAAAATCAAAATGGCCACCGCCATTAAAAAAATCCGAAAAAAGAAAATTAATCCTCATAATCAAAACCACGAATTTTGCTATAACCTCCACGGCAAAAGATGTTCCGACAGTACCCACAGCCAGTAGCTAGAAGGTACACAGAGCAAAGATAATTTTCCAAAAATCAAAATGGCCACCGCCATTAAAAAAATCCGAAAAAAGAAAATTAATCCTCATAATCAAAACCACGAATTTTGCTATAACCTCCACGGCAAAAGATGTTCCGACAGTACCCACAGCCAGTAGCTAGAAGGTACACAGAGCAAAGATAATTTTCCAAAATTCAAAATGGCCACCGCCATTAAAAAAATCCGAAAAAAGAAAATTAATCCTCATAATCAAAACCACGAATTTTGCTATAACCTCCACGGCAAAAGATGTTCCGACAGTACCCACAGCCAGTAGCTAGAAGGTACACAGAGCAAAGATAATTTTCCAAAATTCAAAATGGCCACCGCCA